CATAGAGTTACACTTCAAAAATAAAATAATAAAATACAATAAAAAATTTACTTTAAAACTTAATAAATTCAAAAGTGATATCTCCTAATCACCTATATTTTTAATATAGAATTTGATAATAACTCATAAGTAAGCAATGAAATAACAAATTTAAAATAAAAAAAAATCATCGACAAAATATGGGCTTTAAAGCTTGACTTATACGGCCGTCCTAATGCTATAATGGCAATCGTAACTTGGAAAGCATATACGATGGAATACAATATTTGAAACTAGAATAAAGATACATACAAAAAAAACTCAAAAACTTTAATCATGTTGAGAAAGTAAGAAAACTTTACAAAATATAAATGTCAATAGTTCTAAAAAAATTATTAAATTATTAGATCTAAAAAAAGTTTGAGGTTAAAAAAAGAATTTTTTTTCAGTTTGAAATATAAACCAAATAAAATATAAGAATAAAAGACTCATCCATAAGAAGACACTACAATATTTATTGTTTCTAGCAACATTTTTTATACAACATGTCTAAATTATATGTTACAAAACGATTAGACCACAATTATTGTTCCATGCCAAAATAAATCTGGCGACTTCTCACAAATCCACAATTCTCAAGCCAATATACTCAATTACACAAATCTAATTGGACTTTATCAAACCTCGTCTAGATGTTACCGCAACAAAAAATGATTATGTGTAGTTTTTTAGTGTGTATGTATAGTTTGGAGGTTGAAGATGAAGAGTAATAATGGTAAGTGTTTATAGTTTCATCAAGTTGGAATGATGCATGTATGATGTATTTATAGTTGAGGGAAAATAGTTGAAAAAGGGGAAACTTCAGATTTAAAAAATAGTTAAAAAATTAAACAAACATAATGTCAAAAATTGACACATGTGCCGACCTGAAACAAGCCATGTGCCGACACATGAGAAACAAAAGCTACATGCTTAAATAATGCAGCACATGTGCCGTCCTGGAAATCGTATGTGCCGACACATGCAACTAATTTTAATGCAGAAACTGATTTGTCATGTTCGATGTCAATTCCAATGTTGTTCTAGATGTTTCCTAAAACTTCTAATGCAAGGGTGTAGCAAAACGAGTCAGAGATACCGTCTAATATACAGAAATGATAAAATCTTCTAGTTTTGACATCATGCAAAATATCTAAAGGCAAGTTGCACTCACATCTCACACTTTCTTATAGGGAGAAGAGTGTTCTCCCTTAAAAGCACATGTTCAGGTCATATATTATCCGATATGGGACTCTTAACACACTCCTTCATGTCTAGGTCTGGCCATTTAGAACACATAAATAACTGGTAGGTGGCCCAATAGAGAAACCTGATAGTAGGTGGTCCACCGAACATAACCAGACTCTTGTTACAATGTTAAGAAATATGATTTAATCTAACTCAACCTTACAAAACAAACTTAATAATGATAGATAATTTTCTTTGGAGGATTTTAGTGTATTTGACCATTATTGTAAACATTAATGTAAAATAACCTTTTTATTTCATTATAATAAAGTAAGTGTTATTATTGTTTAAAATTTATGCTATTATTATAAATACTTAAGGAAATAATTAAAATCTCTCATGTCTCTCATTCCGTCCTTCTTGTTGGTCGAGGTCTTTGTCTGACTGAGCTAAGTGACTAATGACTACACGTGCTTCGCTAGGCATGCCTCTGTCTCGCTTAGTAAGTTCTTCTTCCCTTTTTCTTGGTGCTTTTTTTTCTTGTACTATTCTCACCCATGTGAATGGATAACTTAGTTAAAAAGCTCACAAAATGATTTATCATCTTTTCATGGTAAATTTGACTTATTTCATTTTATTACTATTATTGTAAGTCAATAAGTGTCCGTGTAAAACAATTAAATTTAACACTTATTGGATAACTTCTTTTTTGTCCTCAAACAAAAGCTATATGAATTGACAAATGGTTCTGATCATGCAAATGTCAGATGAGGTTTTGATGGCTAAATCAACTTTTTGAAAAACTATTATAACTTGGCATGATTCCTTTGCACGTAACTTCAAAAACAATGTCATGATCATCTGTAAAGTGTAGCATAAAGTTGAAAATTTTGTTTATTCAAAGTATCATTTCAAAACACTAATTGTTCGTTGGTTCAGTAGTTATTGACACTGGATTAAATAGAGAGGAACGCGGTACAATCTTCCATCACTACGATCATATCACTTAATAGGTATGTGAACTATAAATCAATCTTGTACATTTCTACTATAAATCGCTAAGGTTTTTGTTCTTAAAAAAAGACGTCTCATTGAATTAAAAAATGCAAGTATTATATATAAATTATCATTGACCTATATCACAATCCCTCCGTAAACATCAATATTCTAAATCGATATCAAGTGTTTAGTAAATTAAAATTTTATATAATTCCATCAATTGTGGGGGTTAATCTAAAATAGTTTTCTTATAATAATCAATTAATCATACATCATTAACATGGCCAAGTCCACAACTTAAGGTATAACTTTCAGAAAAATCATACAAGTCACATGATAATTACTTCATAAGATAATTAAATTCTTTTAAAAGTTATCACACACTATTCACTTGCTAACTTTTATATGTATAACTCATGACACACATGTACCATGCATGAGAAATACACAACTACAAAAAAAAAAAGACACGAAAAAATGTATGAGAAATACACAACCTCAAAAAAAGACACGAGAAACTGCATGAGAAATACACATAAATATCCTATCACTTTTATATCATCCATAGTTTATAGAAATGTCATGTCAATATATATCTACTTCGTATATGTTAAATTTCTTTCTTTTTAAAATAATTTGGCTTGATTGATTTTGGTTTCTTACATAATATTGAAATTAATCAATCTATTTTTATAACTAAAAATTTTAGTGTCCTTTTCATATTTTTTTATTAAAAAACAAGGATATTTTATTATTTCATCAAAAAATAATGAAATGACATGTTTGAAATGAGGTGATAGACACCATAATAAATTAACATTATTTATATTGATTAGTTATTATCATATAATTAAAAAAATTAAAAAATTAAGTTGAATATAAAGTTTTTAGAGTTTCTTCTTGTGATTTCTTTACTTTTTAGGTAAATTCTTTTTTTTAATTTGTTTAATATTGATAAATTTGTATTTATTAATCATATTAAACAAGTTAAATTCACTATTAAAAGTGTTACTTTTAATGATTTAATAATAATTGAAAATATTTTAAATTCGGTCATTATACGACTATTATTTTTTAATTTCAAAAGTCTTAATCATTAACTATTTATGGATTTAGCGATGGATTTGTTATCACCAAAAATAATGATGGATTTGAAATTGATATTAGTAATTAACTATTAAATTCAGTGACAAATTTGATTATATATCTATTATTTTTATTTACTTTTGTAATTAAAATTTGATTAACCCGATTTCTAATTTTTTAATAATAATATTTAAAATAATTTTATTAAAAATCAATTTCTTTATTTAATTTTTTTTAATAATGTCATTTTAGACATTCTTAAAAATAATTAATTTTAATATTTGATTTATTTAAGAAAGGCTATTTAAAATGTTCTAAAAATAAATAATTTTTTTTATAATTCAATTTAAAAATATTTCATTCTATAGATATTATTAATATTAATGAGAACTAAATTCAGTCAATAATACTTAATTGGATTCACAATCTAGTAAATTTTAAAATATATGATTGAAACACTTACGTATTAATAAATTTAAAATAGAAAAAGTTATATATTTGTTTAAATATATATATTTGTTTCAATTGAGCTGTATATTCGTTACTAATTCTTCTATAATTTAATCCATTCATGATTAAAAAATGAATTCCTCTTGTTACTAATTCTTTTAGAATTTCCTTACTCAATTAAAAAATGCAATCCTCCTTGTTCCTACCATTCTCAATTATACAACTTTAAAATATAGAAAAATACTCATAATAAGTTTAGAAACTTATTGAATGTATTCGATACAAGAATAAATTAACATTGATATAAATTAATTATAAAAATAAATTAATCTTAATATAAATTATAATGAAAATGTATTTTCTGATTAATATAAAATTGCATTTACTCTATCTTAACCATAGAAATTCATAGAGTTACACTTTAAAAATAAAATAATAAAATACAATAAAAATTTTACTTTAAAACTTAATAAATTCAAAAGGGATATCTCCTAATCACCTAAATTTTTAATATAGAATTTGATAATAACTCATAAGTAAGCAATGAAATAACAACTTTAAAAAAAAAATCATCGACAAAATATGGGCTTTAAAGCTTGACTTATACGGCCGTCCTAATGCTATAATGGCAATCATAACTTGGAAAGCATATACGATGGAATACAAAATGTGAAACTAGAATAAATATACATACAAAAAAAAACTCAAAAACCTTAATCATGTTGAGCAAGTAAGAAAATTTTACAAAATATAAATGTCAATAATTCTAAAAAAAAATAGTAAATTGTTAGATCTAAAAGAAGTTTGAGGTTTAAAAAAGGATTTATTTTTTCAGTTTGAAATATAAACCAAATAAAATATAAGAATAAAAGACTCATCCATAAGAAGACACTACAATATTTATTGTTTCTAACAACATTTTTTATACAACATGTATAAATTATATGTTACAAAACGATTAGACCACAATTATTGTTCCATGCCAAAATAAATCTGGCGACATCTCACAAATCCACAATTCTCAACCCAATATACTCAATTACACAAATGTAATTGGATGTTATCAAACCTCGTCTAGATGGTACCATAACAAAAAATAATTATGTGTAGTTTGTTAGTGTGTATGTATAGTTTGGACAGAATCTCGGCCGTTACTGGCCTGCTTATAAAGCATCATCTGGTAAATGTGATAACTGTGACTATGCAGGAACTTATAATGAGAATAAATGTAGAAGTAACTGCGGCGAAGCTTCTCAAAGATGGTGAGTGAGAAACATAAAGCTTGCGTATTTTTTGTATAATGCCAATGAGAAACTATTCGACAAACTAATCAATGGATGCTAATTTCAGGTACCACGTTCCTCGTTCGTGGTTGGAACCAACCGGAAATCTATTGGTTGTGTTCGAAGAATTGGGCGGAGATCCGAGTGGAATCTTTTTGGTTAGAAGGGATATAGACAGTGTATGTGCTGATATTTATGAGTGGCAACCAAATCTTATAAGTTATCAAATGCAAAGTTCTGGCAAATCTACCCAACCTATTAGACCAAAAGCATCTATCATGTGGCCCTGGACAGAAAATTTCATCAATCAAATTCGCTAGCTTTGGTACTCTAGTAGGGTCTTGTGGAAACTTTCATGAAGGAAGCTGCCATGCTCACAAGTCTTATAATGCTTTGGAAAAGGTATTGCTATATATAGTTAAACATAGTTTTCGATAAAGATATTTTACACCGTCAATCTATCAAAATCGTCACTCATACATAGTTTTCGATAAAGATATTTTATGTTTGATTTTTACTTTTACTCGTTTCATTACTCAAAGGTGACTTTTGTTGTTGCAGAATTGTGTTGGACAGAACTCGTGCAAGGTAACCGTGTCGCCTGAAAATTTTGGAGGAGATCCGTGTCCAAATGTCTTGAAGAAACTCTCGGTTGAGGCCATTTGTACCTGAAGATTTCAACCTCGGAAAGTAAACGCAAAGAACTTTTTAGACTGATTTTCCCCCGACGTCAAACACTGTATTTTTGCCTCAATGAAATTCTAAACTACTTGAAGATCACCACAAACATTAGTTTGGCTTTTACCAATGTGAAGTTGCAGAAAACACAACACACCATCTGGTAGAGATTGCAGATATGATTGTGGATGTGTATATATATTTGTGTTATTCTTGTTATATAGAGGTGAAAGGTGATGAAGATTTTTGATTAGATGCACAATGAGACAATACTATTTGAGTCAAGTCCATGTGCAATTGATTATTATAGTGTGGAAGCATCTTGCTTCTTGTATTATTAGTATTATTTTTCTATTGCAAGCTACATTGATAGAAACTTGATTGTTTTCTTCTTGTAAGAAACTTTACATGATCAATCATATGAAAAAAGGAGAAGAATGGAAAGTGACATTGTTGCTTTTTTGTTGGATGATTCTGTTATCTTGCCAACTATGGCACTAAAGAATCTATAACTTGCAAGAGAAGAAAATCATAATTGTCTTTGAATGGAATATGCATATTTAGGTAATTTTGTTAGTTTGATAATTTATTGAAGCTAGGAGCATTTCTTCAAAATAATATGGTAATGCTATGTGGTCCTTTCAATCAAATTTGGAATGGTCAATAGGCAAGTTAGACACGACAGATTTCTAAGCATCAACTTGAAATGTTTGTGTAAATTCCAATGATATGCATTGTCCTTTTGCAGTCATGCACCAAGGTTGCACTTGATTTTGTCTCACCTGAAAATGTTGGTGAGTGCATCCGTTTGACAGAAGAATTCCGCAAACTTCCGAAAAATCACGGGTCCAACGAGGACAAATTGCAGGTATGCAAACACTGCTTTTCCAGATTGGATTTTTCTGTTCATATGCTTATCCAATATATTCAGATAATGCATCTTGATTTTGTCATTAGTTTCTCAATTACTTTTTCTTTTGAACACCTTGTTTGTTTCATTGCTTGTTTCTTGCTCTCTGAAAAATCATGAAAACAAATTGTAAAAGACAGGTTTGTTGTTGGTTTTGAAATTTCTATTTTTCTATTGTAATATCTAGTGTTAATGTAGCTTAGCTTTTTCATGTACTTTACATGGTTCTGTCATTAAACGTTTCTATTTTGATTTAGATTTTTTTTAATAACCAAAATGTCAGTGGGGGTGGGTGAATGTTGGTTTCCAGGATTTGAACCCTGGGCCTCCTTCTTGCAACTCCTTCATGTCCCTTAGCTCGCCAATTGAGCTACCTTCCTGGGACTATTTTGATTTAGATTAAATCCTTGTTGAATGTTTCAAGTCCTGATTGTCAATCTATTTTGTTGTTTGTGTTACTCTGTTGTATTGTAATGTCAATAGTTTCATGTGGGATTTTGTGAATTGTTTTTCCTGATTGCCGGTAATATGGTAACAGGTGAAGAAAATGATTATACATGCTGTGGACGATGCAGTCAAAAAGTTGAAAAACTCGACATGTGCTAGCGGTTGGACAACTAACTTCAATTAAACTTCTTTTAATTGTGTTGAACTTTTCACTTCTAGACTCACATTTTTTGCGAATCCATAGATGCAATCCCAAAAGTGTTGGGACCTGAGCGTTGGGGTTTGAGAATTGGGACATCCCCTTCTAGAAAGTTTGGACGAGACTCTTGTTTGGGAACTGTGAGATTTTGTTTGTTTCAAGTTTTTCTCTCATTTTTTATTTATTTTATAAATAAAGTTGATAGTATGCTTAACCACGATTCTTGTATGTGCAGTCGAAGAAGAAACTTTTAATTTTTGATATAAACGGGGTGCTTGCAGACGTAGAATTTGTCTGTACATCTGATGGAACACCTGAGTTCTCTCCAAAACCAGACAGGATATTGGTAAATGACAAAAATGAACAAAATAAACAGTTAGTGTACATGAGAAAGAATTGTCATGAGTTTTTGGAATTCTGTTTTGAAAACTTTGTAGTGGCTATTTGGTCTTCAAAAGAAAGGTACTTCATTCATCTCTAATTTTCATTTTATTAAATTATAATGTTGGGTTTGTCCCCATTTTTTCTCTTGGTTGGCTCTTTCCACTATTCTTTATTTGCATTTACCTTTTGTCATTTATCTGCATTGTAGAAACTTATATCCATAATTTCTGTTTTGTAGGATCAATGTTAAGAAGTTGGTTGATTTTTTATTTAAAGATAGGCAAAAAGAGTTACTTTTCTTTTGGGTGAGCACACACACTCTTATATTTGATTATTCCTAGCTTGAACTTTAGTACACACTCTTCCATTGTGTCTCTCAGCCGCGCGTGGCGGCTCCTCTCTGGCGGTGCTTCCACCTGCTGAATCGGTTTTTCCTCCTGGATCCAGATCTGGTCTTGGTGTTTCCAAGAATTCAATTTATCTGTTCCAAGCCTAGAGCATTCAGTTGCTTCAGCTGGAGGAGGAGCATTGGATTTAGTCTTGTTGGAAACATAATTAGGAGTGTTGGAAATAGGATATGATTAATGTTGCACATCCTAAGAATTCTTTTTTGATAAGACATTCATTCAAAGGATTACTTTTGCAGGATCGTTTGTACTGTACAAAAAGTACTTTTCATGTACCTACTCGACCAGATAAAAAAATGGTGTTTAAGGATTTGAATAAAGTTTGGGATCAGTTTAGAAGTTTTAATGCTAAAAACACTCTGCTTGTTGATGATTCTCCCTATAAGGCATTGCTTAATCCCGTAAGTCAAGTATTTTATGTTAACACATTAGAATGGGATGTTGCTACTGTATTTATTTCTAGTCTAACTCAATTTCTGAATTTTGTAATCATTTCAGCCACACACAGCAATCTTCCCTCATACATATAAGTTTTGGCACAAAACTGACAATTCAATAGGCAAGCTACATACCCTTATATGTTGAATTAGTTTTTATTGTACAATACATAATCAATATTCCTTCTATGATACAGGAAAACAAGAAGCAATTATTTTTCCTAATTAGTGATTGTATCTATGAGTTCAACGCTTTTGGATCATGAAGGTGGTTACTACATGGGATTGTTTTGTTATCCTTTCTTATTTTTTTGGTGTTTTGTTTAGAGAATTTGATTGTATGTTTTTGGATTTGGATTGAAGTACTAATAGATGGGCATCTACAAATTTGGCTATGCAAACGCCCTCTTAATATTCTATATGTTATGATATTTGGAAACAATAGGATTTGGTAATTTAAAATGTTATTTGGTATTTGATGGATCATAATATATATGCAATGAGTAACTTAAAGCGTTATTTGTGTTGAATTGAATATAGTTATTTTATATTTACACCAAAAAAATGATTGTGTAAGAAAAAATATTGTACTGTACTTATTAAAAATATTGTACCAAATATGTACCATTTATTAGCACTTTATTTGAAAGCGCTATCAAACATATGTTATATATTTGCGCTTTTTGTTTAGAGTGCTATAAAAAAACAAACAAAAAACATGCAAAATACTGACTTTGATAGCACTTTAATTAAAACGCTATTATAAATTGGTACTTTAATAGCGCTTTTAAAGTGCTATTAAATAAGAAATATTTACAATAGTGGCGCGGTTAATAGCACTTTTAAGCGCTATCAAAAACAAAAAAAAGCGCTATTAAATAGCTTATTTGGCGTAGTGACTTTAATCATGTTGAGAAAGTAAGAAAATTTTACAAAATATAAATGTCAATAGTTCTAAAAAAAATATTAAATTATTAGATCTAAAAAAAGTTTGAGGTTAAAAAAAGAATTTTTTTTCAGTTTGAAATATAAACCAAATAAAATATAAGAATAAAAGACTCATCCATAAGAAGACACTACAATATTTATTGTTTCTAGCAACATTTTTTATACAACATGTATAAATTATATGTTACAAAACGATTAGACCACAATTATTGTTCCATGCCAAAATAAATCTGGCGACTTCTCACAAATCCACAATTCTCAACCCAATATACTCAATTACACAAATCTAATTGGACGTTATCAAACCTCGTCTAGATGTTACCGCAACAAAAAATGATTATGTGTAGTTTTTTAGTGTGTATGTATAGTTTGGAGGTTGAAGATAAAGAGTAATAATGGCAAGTGTTTATAGTTTCATCAAGTTGGAATGATGCATGTATGATGTCTTTATAGTTGAGGGAAAATAGTTGAAAAAGGGGAAACTTCAGATTTAAAAAATAGTTAAAAAATTGAACAAACAATCAGGATGTGCCAGCATAGACGAGTTATGTACCGACACATGATGCCAAAAATTGACACATGTGCCGACCTGAAACAAGCCATGTGCCGACACATGAGAAACAAAAGCTACATGCTTAAATAATGCAACACATGTGTCGTCCTGAAAATCGTATGTGCCAACACATACAACTAATTTTCGTGCAGAAACAGATTTGTCATGTTCGATGTCAATTCCAATGTTGTTCTAGATGTTTCCTAAAACTTCTAATGCAAGGGTGTACCAAAACGAGTCAGAGATACCGTCTAATATACATAAATGATAAATTCTTCTAGTTTTGACTTCATGCAAAATATCTAAAGGCAAGTTGCACTCACATCTCACACTTTCTTATAGGGAGAAGAGTGTTCTCCCTTAAAAGCACATGTTCAGGCCATATATTATCCGATATGGGACACTTAACACACTCCTTCATGTCTAGGTCTGGCCATTTAGAACACAAAAATAACTGGTTGGTGGCCCAATAGAGAAAACCTAATAGTAAGTGGTCCACCGAACATAACCAGACTCTTGTTACAATGTTAAGAACTATGATTTAATCTAACTCAACCATACAAAACAAACTTAATAATGATAGATAATTTTCTTTGGAGGATTTGAGTGTATTTGACCATTATTGTAAACATTAATGTAAAATAACCTTTTTATTTCATTATAATAAAGTAAGTGTTATTATTGTTTAAAATTTATGCTATTATTATAA